AAAAAAAAAAAACACATAGATAGCACACAAAATATATCAATGATTATTTGTGTTTAGAGGGTTAAGAATGATATTTGCCAACAACGTTTTGGGTTGGGATCTAAACTTGTAAATTACATCAAACCATAAGAATTATATTCACCGAAAATTATAAGAAGAGAAAAAAATATGGGAATTGACTAATTTACCCTTTTAAATATTATTGGCAAATTCCATAGGGACCATTTCTACAAATTATCATAAGGTTCTAACGGATGTTTAACGGTTCATGGATGGAAGGACCAATTCCGCAAGAAATGTTTGAAATAAGGGTACAAATGACAATTTTAAAACGATAGGGACTATTTTAGCAAAGAGTGTAAACGTTGGGGACCATTTCTGCTAATTACTCGGAAAACAAAAACCTACTTCCCAAATAAAATGTTTTCCTTACAAACAAGGAAAATTATGCATATTTTTAAAAGTTGGAAAATATTTTCTATGGAAAAAAATAACAATCACACACTCCAAAATAGAATTGGGTGGAAAACTGACATTTTCCATAGAAAATAAATGCAATCAAACACACCCTTATAGTAATAAAAGGGCACAAAATATACTAAATGCACAAGTGTAACCCCATAATACTACTAATGAAAAAAAAATTGAGCTTAAGGCTTAATATTGGGAATTCGGCGGGATGTAGGGAGGCAGAATGTTACAAGTTCCCAATTCCAGATTTGTATAGTATTTCCCAGAAATTTAGAAGTTCCCCTACTCCATTATCAATCTAGCACACCCAAATGTGAAAAAGGAGCTAAAATTCTCAATTGTTGAAGCTATAAATCATATATTTGAGTTGTACTTGTTAAAGTGCAAACCAAATCAAGGGCACCAAAGTTCCCCGAACTATCTATGGATCATAAAATTGATGTCTGCATATATTTACATGTGTAAGTGTAAACAATTCCTTGAAAAGTTATAACTTACATCATAGCCATAGAGATCTGCTTGAGATCATTCTCAATATTCCTCATGTTAGCAAGCGATTGTGCACAGAATATAATCGCGAGCCACGAGCACAGCGTGTACTGAATAAATCCAACAATAAAATCAATTAATTACACCTCAAAAACTAAATCTATCATCGCAACACATTTACTAGCATGTGAGATCGTGCTTCTATGAGCAATTAAAACCTTAGGAATCATTTATAACATAAAGACGGGTTTCCAAAGTATGAATCCACACTTTTAATGTATGTTAATCAACGAATGATAAGAGAACATGCTAACCCGGAACATGGCGCCAAAAACACCGAATATGACAGCGATGAAGCCAGAGTAATCAACTGGGAGGTCTTGCGGGGCCACAATCGACGGCTTGTACGGCCGCGCCGCCAATGGTTGCCTAGGATCGTTCGACTGCGACGCCATCTCTCTCTCTCTCTCCGTCCCACGAGATAAATGTAAATAGCACATTTAGCCCCAATATATAGATATAGTTGAAGTTGAGGAAAATAGTAGAGGAGATCTCAAGCCTTTGACCAGTGTTGCACTTTGCTCCTCAACCTTTGAAAATGAGCATTTAGGTTCTAAGCTTTCTATTTTATTGAAAATGACAATTTTACCCTTAATAATTGTGTTAAAAGAAAGATCTCTTATAAATATTACAAAGAGTAATTATATTCACATCATGATTTTTATTTCTCATACAAAATTTTAATTGCGCCTAAGGTTCTTAATTTTTACTCATTATAATACTTATGTCCCTAACGATTTTTCATATCATTCTTATTCTCAAACTTTTCAGTAGTTAGTATGTGTTTGTCTCCCATTATTGTAGAAAAAATGTAGTAATGAATAATTTTTTGGAGAATATATAATTGAAATTTAAAGTAACTTTATTGGTTTGTGTGTAGAATATTTTATTGGGTGCATGTGTGGTAGAAGATCTTACTATTATCAAACAATATTTTGAAATAATGGGAGACAAACGGGGCCTTAATCATTTTGTACTTTATAACAGTTTTTTATTTAAAAATCCGTTGAAATGCCGTAAAACAACTTACTTTTCAATCATATTCTAAAAAAAAGTACAAAAAATATTTTTCTCTCGTTTCAAAGCATGAAACAAATTATTTTAATATAAAGTGTTGACCCCAAAAAATGTTGTCAACAGATATCGGGCATACTCGTGTACACGTAAGCTAAATCCAACACGTTAGTACTAATCAACGGTCAGAACGTCTCCAGAACCTGAACGTGAGAAGAGCTCAAAGACACGAGACGTTTCCGTTCAGGCCTCCGACAAGATAACTTAGAACATAATTGTATAATAAACCAATCGATAAAGAACAAAATTTGCAATAGATTTTTTGTTGATAAACAAGAGAGTCGAGAGAGTAATATTGTTCCAAGTATTAGAATTTCATTAACCTTTTTGTGTTACATATTGGGGTATTTCTAGCGTTACAAATGAAATAAAGACATGTGGATCAATTTTACACGAGGCACCATCTTCTCGGCCAAGATATCCAGTCCTAACCATCAAGTTGACTCTCATAGCCTTACAAAACATCAAATGTTCTTACATTAACAAGACAAGACACACAAAAGAATAAAAAAAATAATTAACTACAAATTAAAAATAAAAAATAGTTAATTGGAAGTTTTTTTTTTTAAAAAAAGCATAAATAGGGCAGAAAACGGGACAAGTCCGCACTTCGAATCAGCCCCATCCCATCTAAGGTGGGGCGCAGGGCGGGATGGGGTGAGAGTGCCCCGCCCTATTGCCATCTGTAGATGACAAATTGACGGTTAAACAAAACAACCGTGCTAGACGTACAGAACCCATTCTCCAGGAAGGCACCAGATGAGCTGGCAACCACTTTAAAAAAAAAAAAAAAAATGAAAAGTCAAACCTAACGCGTGAAATTGAAAACCAAAGAAACCTAACCCAAATGAAAACCATCAAAACACTTTCCTTCACTTTCCCTTTCTCCAAGCCTAGCAAAACCGGCCGCGACTTCCCTTAAACTCCCCACAGATCAGAGACCCGAAATCGTTATCGACGTCGCCGGCTGCCGTGAATCCATCAAACGACCTGCTGATTTACCATTGTCATATTAAGAAATCAATTAAATCTTGCCGCTATGAACCTGCTGATTTTGCCGCAATGAACCCAAACTCCTCCCCGGAAAACCACACCCAACTGCTGATTTTGATTCTTTCAACTTCATTCATTGTTGCTTTGTCTCTGTTTTTGTTGCTAGCCGCAGCTGTTGAATGTTTGTTTCCACGTAATAAGTTAATATTTTAGTCAATGTTTCAAACAAGCAAGTAATATTGCAGCCAAACATCCAAAGAAATGAGTTCTCTAATATCTGCAACTGATAGCCTCTTCAACAAAAGATATAGTCTGAAAATGTAATTAACAAAATGAAAGAAAAACCACAACTGATTCTAATTTTTCCAGAACGCAGGTGTAGTGGAAATACCACAAATGGCATTGGAATGAAACCTGCCAGTTTCTAATCAATAAAAGCTCATCAAACTTACTACCAGAAATAAAATAAACACCAAACTTACTACCAAAAAATTACAACCATAAAACCAGAAAATTACAAGTTACAACCATAGAACAAAGGTGCTGGATTGCATGAGGAACCAATCATATGACTGAAAACCAGAAAATTACAACCATAAAACCAGTGACTTTACATCAAGAAGCTCATCAGAAAATTGTTTCACTGGCCAGTCAGATTTCAAAGGGGCTGGATTGCATGAGGAACCAATCCTACTGGACTCAACCATGGCTGGATGGCAACCATGACTTTGCTTTTCAGGAGTTGTTGAAGACTGGTTATCGCCGTCACCGCATTTGGGCATAATGTTCGGCGGGAGGAAATGTTGTGTTCACTGCCAAATCTCGTCAAATGTTCGGCACAAGGATTTGATCTGTCGGTCGGATCAGTTGATTTGCTATGCCCAAAGTGCCAGCTCCGTGTAGAGACGAATCGGTAGGGACGATTTTGTAGGAAATGGAAGTGGAAAAATGAAAGAGTTTTTCGGCGGGTGGAAATGGTAGCGAGTGGCGGGACTAACTCTTTCCCTTTTGATTTTCATTAGGTCACTTGACTCACTTCCCATTCATTTTTCAATTTGTTTGCAAATGTCCAAATAAAGTGCCACGTCATTAAATTTTGAATTTCTGGAAATTCTGGCCAACAGTGTTCTGTACACATGGCTTTTCTCTAAACAAAATACGGCTGTGGCCAAGGGCTAATTGGGAACCTAAATTTTAAGAACGAGAAATGGCGAGTTAAGCCCCTGTTTGGCACCCATTAATTTTTCATTCTCATTCCCATTCCCATTCTCATTCTTCATTTCAACCACACATTCTTCAAATAAAATAATATTACACACAAATCAAAAACTTTTCATCACTTTTCCACCACACATTCTCACATCAATCACTATTCCAAAATTTCTATTCTCCTCAAAATTAGATTCAAACACATCCTAAATGTTTCAATAGCTACAGAACTTTATGCTATATCACAATTTACTCACCGAACTTTCTTAAGTCTCCCATTAGCCATTGAACTTTGCTCCGTCGCACTCCAATGAAGTTCTGGGCCTTGTCATCAATTGAAACACAACTTTCAATCAATCTATTGTATTTCCAACGACTTAGAAATCCCAGAAAGCACCACAACCCTAACCCCTAAATGGATTGATTCTGCAAGAACAATAGGAACCCCAACTCCGATCAGGAAGAAATTGAATGCATTTGTTTGTCGGTGCAAGCTACCTTTTCTTTTGCAATTCCGCTGCGGTAGTCCCAAGTTTGAGACTCCATTTCCTCAGCTCGTATAGCGTCCGAAGCGCAGGCAACTTGAAGCTCACTAAGTAAGGTTTGAAGCCAAATACGCTTCAAAGGAAGTGGATTAAAGGTAAATTTAATCCATTTCAGTTACCAAATTTTTTGTTTTAACATTAATTTTACCATGTAAAGGGTTGTACGCATTTCCTTTTGTTTATTTTTTTATAATCAACTTGAATCCATCATTTTTTATAATGAAGAATTGTATTGGGGGTTAATGTTGTATTTGTCAATTCAGGGGTTGAAAACTTTTGCAGTCACTAATGATTCGTTTTCCGAGCTCCACTTTCCATTGATAAAATTCAAGAACAAAAGGATTTCACTGCTGGAGGGATTTAACAGACCACCTCATATTTCTGTCATCCACATAGGCATCAAATTAAACGGCATCCATCCGGTGAGTAATGGAGTGCGACAGAGCAAAGTTTAGTAGCTAATGGGACACTTAAGAAAGTTTGATGAGTAAATCGTGACATAGTATAAAGTTCGGTGGCTATTGAAACATTTAACTCGGAAAGGCCCTGCTCCAAAATTCGACTCGCTTTCTCTTTTCACGATGGAACCCCGCGAATTTGAAGGTGAATCCGATTTTCAAAGCCCCATCGTCACAAAGTCTCCATTTTCAGCACCACAACAATCGTCGTCTCCTTCATCGGCGCCGGCTCCATCTTCGGTGATTCGGCTGTGGAAACCGGCGGCTCAGCGAAACCTCAAGAACCAATGGTCTAAGCTGCTTGCCCTTTTCCAGGACTGGTGCTCTTCGTCTTCCTCTGCCCGCTCACACGCCACGTCACTCGTCAACTCCTTTCTGTCTCAAAAGTAAGCATATAGTGTGAATTTGACAGTGGACTAAAGTGAGAGTGAATTGGAAAGATTTGGCTTGTATACTGTGTACCTTTGAATTTTTACAGGTACATGAATGGGATGGATTTGGGCGTGTTAAGTGACATGCCAAATATTCGGAAGAAAGCTTGTCAGAAATTGTTCAAGCAACAGGTTTATAATCAGTTCTGTTTTTTTTCCTTGTTATTTTCATTCTTTGGCTCAATCTGCAACATGCTTAGGTCCTTCCTTTGTTCTAGTAACGTGTGTGGAGTCAAGAGCGTAAGGGAACATTTTAAAAAACAGCCATATTAGAATGACTGAATTTCGTGTCATCAGGAGAAAATTCAGTGATAATTTATAAAATTATTTGAGAATGTATATATTATTATCTTATAATAAGCGTAGAATTGGAAGCTAGTTTCCACATCAGATTACTACATTCTTGAAGCAGGTTCAAATAACGAGTTTGTGCCAAATAAGAGAGTTGTGGAAGCCACTGGTGGTTCTCACAATTGGGGAGTAGGCTTCTATTGCACTTGTGATATTGTGATCGATGCCCAGTTAGCAAATTTTTTAAACATTGGTATGATTAAAGCAGAGGAAGACAATGAATATGAGCAAAATACAAATGTCTTAGGCATTGATATGTATGAATTGCATATATTTTGTCTGACGTAAGTTTTAAATTAGTTAAATTTGTAAGTTAAACTGGATAAGTGCCTTCTGTGCTCCAAAAGAGATTCAAAGACGCATTTGGTCTCTTGTTGCCAAGATTTTGAGAAACCAATGCTGTCTAGTCGACAGTGCTGAAGTTATAGAGAAACAGGATTATGGATAAACATGTCTACAAAATTTTGGAAAGAAGAAAATTTTGGCATGGAAAATGGGAATAATGATCAACAGTTTAAATGGCTCCTTCTCTCTAATAAATACATGTGTGGTGCCTCTACTAGGATACGAGAGAGATTTCTTGCTCCAGAGTAGGATCAACTTTCACCCAGTTTATATTTAATGTACTTGCACCTCCTCATACTTAAAGCTAAATATTTAAATAATCTACTGTTTCTGATATTAACTTTATTTTTCTAATCATGCTTGTGAAAGTTCATATTGGTTTGATGTCAAGAAGTACTTAGTCACGTGTGAAAAGTATTATCTTATTCTTAGATACTCTGAAGTACTTAAGTAGTGGTTCATCTTGCAAGGCATGTAACTATAAATAGATGAGTCTAGTTTATCATAAAATTTTACCTCTCTTTATCTGATACATTTTCTCTTCTCAGGAGCTTTACAGGCGTAAACTCTTATCGTGTTACAAAGATATGGTACTTGTACTCGATCATTCTTGGTTTTGTCATTAATATAAGCAAATATATGTGCTGCTTGTTTTGTATGGATTCCTTTGTTTCTTTTTATGTTTAATTCGTTATTGAAATCCTTCTAATTTCCAGTATGAACCATTTTATGTATTCTATTTGTCTCGCTGCCTTCTTGTTCAGCGGCAACATATTTACATATTGACAAGATTTCATTTACAGGTAGCTATTGTGACTCGTATGGTCAACTCTAGTAGATCCATGAGGTGTTATTTGAAAGGTTCAAGAACTAGTCCGTTAGCTCAGTTCTCTTGCTCCTCTCAGAATGACAACGACAGTGGTGATGCTGGTGGATTACCTGTTTTCACATTTTGGTCAATTGCTGCTTTTGGTATGTGCATTCTTGCGACTTCAGTACTCAGTATGTCTTTTTGCTTCTATACCATCATCGTTGTGCTTATTTGAAGAAACACGAAGTTTTAAGATATAGAAAACATGCTTCATAATGCAGTAAATAATGCTTTTCAATATGAGCTAAAGTGGTTGTCCAGACTCCACTATTCTGTTCAGTTATAGGCCATAGTAATAATATGTAGATGGAACTTTTTATATGTTTATGATATCAAATTGAACATTACCACGAAGGAGGATGCTTTTATTTTGACATGCTCCGAGTATATTCTGCATGTGGAACAAAAAAAGAGCACAGTTGGTTTGGTTGTCAAAAAAAGGGAATGGTGTAAATATGTAATGGCAATCACAGCACGTAGCCTTGCATCATTTTCTGCTGTTGCTATTATTTGAAAACGATTTCATGATTCTTCAGCATAAGGTTTGTAGTCTCTGGAGATTTCAAGCAGTCTATAATTTCGTTAGTCCAATTACAAATCAAGTCCCAAGGGTAAAATAAATTTTAGTATGTAATTTTTTATATCCAATTTCATAGCTAAATATTTCTTTAAACTTTCAGATGCATAATAGACATGAGATATAATGCATTAACAACTTGGAGAATAAGCAAACCTATGATTTTTTTTCATAAGATAATCAAAGCAACCTTGGGAATTTTGTTACATTTCATTGTTAGAATTATCAATGACAACTAGTACATGTTGGAAATACTCTTGGTGCCTATACTTAGCTTTTAAATTCAAGCCTATAATCAGTCGAATTTAACTAGCCCTGTGGAATTTTTTTGACTTTTTTTACATCTTGTTTTGTGCATATAATCCATGCCAATTAACTTAATCACTGAACAGCATATGTAGAGGTAACTGTCTTCTGCACCGGTAAAATGATTTGGAGCATGTATGGCTACTGTTTCCTGAAATATGTGCATTATTAAATTTACATCAGTTTATAACTCATAGCATTCTAATTACAATTTAAATGGTTTGTGACCAATTTCCAAAACAATTTTATTTCAATGCTGCTAATTGTATGTGACAGCAATTCGGGTCAAAACCCCTTTCATAATGGTGTTAATTTTCATATGATATCCGCATATTTACTTCTTTGTTTTTAGAAAGGTGTAGGAATGAAATCCTCGATAATCCTGTTTGTTCAGCCCTATAAATGACATTTTAGCTCTCTGAATATTTCTATGGATGTTTTGACTTATATTAGGAATGTCATGACTCATGTAATGAAGTGCGTTTTCAAGTTTCTAGCAAGATGCTTCATCACATGCATACTTGAATCCTTGTAGTTTTTTATTTTAGTCATCATTTTCAAATTCAATTGGCTGTGACTTGGGAGAGGTTCGTCCTGATATTGGAATCATTTGACCTCCAAAATAAAGGGATTACGAATATGACAAAACAAGGACATGCTTTGTCAAAGAGATTCTGAAGGAGAAAGAGTATTGAGAATAGTTCTGTCAAGTACACATTTTAATCGCCTATGAAGCTATTTTAATCGCCAATGAAGCTAATAAAACTGAAAATTATTTTATTGGTTGCATTCACCTTATATGGAATTCGCATGTCAATATTTGTTATCTCCATACTGGATAAGTACCCATTTGATTGAATATATGCCAAAGTACTCCATTCAATTGACACTTCCATTCTACAATCTCTTTGCTGTATACGTGATAACACTGCTTATTAATCTTAGACTGTTGAAATATTTTTTTTCATGGCAATACGAGGTCATTCTTATTTTCATATGTTGGTTTACCATTATGAAATTTTCAATGATTTCAGAAGAACTAGCATCAGAGGTTGTACAAATGTTCATGTCAGAACTAAATTTAAAGGTGAACTGAAAGCCTAGTTGCCCTCTTGAAGGACATTTTCTTTGATTTTACACAATTGACATCACCTATCTCTTGATTGTATTCTCAAATTGCTGTGTCTGCTCTAGAGGTTGCTCGTGATGGAGTTGCTGTCCATCTCTGATGAAAAAGTTTTACACGATATTGAATTGCATTGGTCGGATGAATTCTATGCGGGAGAATTTGATGATCTAAGAACATGTAACTTGTACTCGGAAGAAGCTCGTGAACCAGTATTCCCAAGTCTTCAGAGCAACCGATCTAGTACTTCCTCAATGCAATCTAAACACCAGGCAGATAGTGATGTTCTACAGGTACTGGGGTCTGTTTAACTTGAAGATTTATGGCAGGTAGATTGTTTTTTCACGTGTAAATAGTGCACGAACCCCGTCTTAAGAAGGAAGTTGTACCCAGAAAGGGAGGTCTAAAATGCTAAAAGAAGAAGAAAAGATCACTTCCTATTCAAATCGGAACCAAACCATACATCCATTTTGACCATGCATTTCTATCCATCAATGTGTGGACATATTTGTTCGTGCATGTGTATGGGTTGTGGCTATATCTAATATCTTATTTATTTGAACTACAGGTTTATCTAACAACCTGGCTTGCAGAGGTGAATATAGATAGATGCAGGTAAAATCAGCATTAAAAAATTTATATCATATTGTTCATATCATTGATTCTATGGTTAGTGCATGACTTTGTGGGTCTTAAAGTCGATTATTTACATATATGCTTTTTCTATATCTAATTTTGGAAGTGGAATATGTACACTGTAAAAGTAATACATGATCTTCAATGTTGTATGTTGCCATTCCCCTGGACCAACAAAGGGTGGTACACTAGTACTGGAATATTCACCTGTGGTTGCAATCTTTTTCTGCTCGTGAAAATGTCACTAGAGCTCCTTAGATCAGAAATCATTCTTAGAAATTGCCAATCAAAGAAATCCTCGCTTTTCTCAAAGTCAAAGTCCTCAGTCTACTACTTGGAATTGTTCAACTTATGGTTTAGAAATTCCTTCTTGAATCTTCAAATGATCCATTCAAGTTATTTTTGTAGTACAGCGTATATGTGCCATGGGATTAAGTCTCCATATTTCTGGCTTCAATCCAGTCATTGCAGAAAGGGCAAAAGTGCTTAATCATTTGATGTAATTTGTAATCAATGCTTATTTTCATGGCTTAGACTCTCGTGATATTCTTACTGGTAATGTCTTTTTACAGGTTGGATGAAATATTTGCTATTGTAGGAGAGGAAATGCATGTTACCCTTTCTTGAAGCAGCCGGTAAGTGAAAATGAAATACAGGCTTACAGTTCTAAATATAAATATGAGTTCATTAACCTGATTGATTCTGCTGCAAGGGAATTTGATAAAAACTGGTATGCACGTACCTTATTTATTTTCCAATCAGTGGTTGTTCACACCTGCACTTCTTATATAAACGTCATCCGAGGCTCAGATTGACTGACAATAATGAATCTGGCTCAAATAGTTTTTTAAGCATACTTTTCTGTATAATACTGGCAAGGGTTATGCTACATGTACCCTATGGATTACACTTTTGTTTATTCGGGCCTATCCCCTCCCTCACATGGGGTTCGGGTCCCACGCAGGTCCCACGCTGCGTGGGACCCGAACCCCATGTGAGAGAGGGGGTGGGGTTGGGTAAACATGAGTCGCTGCGTGGGACCCGAACCCCATGTGAGAGAGGGGGTGGGGTTGGGTAAACATGAGTGTAATCCATAGGGTACAAATAGCATAATTCATACTGGTAATCATCTCTATGGACACGATTTCTGTTTCTGGATCCATTTTGTGTATTAAAAAATAATCACATTTCTTCTTGATGATTACAGGTTCCTCTGGAGTATTGGACAATGGTAATTTCTCGAATCTGCAAGTGAAGCTAATACTTGCTCAGAATACCTGGTGAAATGGAGATGCTACCCTGAAAAATAATGGGAAATGCTTCACATGATATCAATAATGTAACCACTGGTTATAGTGAGCACTTTTCTCTAAGGCCCTGTTTGATACCTGACTTTTTCCATGGAAAATGGAAAAACAATTCCATTTCCACCCATTTGTGATGTTTGATAGCCAAAATTTGGCTTGGAAAAAGTTTTGCTACCCACCCA